ACATATAGAGAGACAGTAAAGAGCAGGACTCCATGTTTAATAACCAAAGTAAAATCAGCCTCTAACATTCAGCTGGATCTTACCTGCAGGACACTTTGAACAGCACAGGCCTTGTACTTTATACATTTCTGAAGGACATGAGTGAGTGAGGACACTGAAGACTTTCATCATGATTATCTAAAAAAAACAAAGAAGAAGAACAAAGAATACATTTAAAAGTAGAACCGCGCTTCAAACTGAGAATGGCTCGACTAACAGAGAGCAGCAGGAGGTGGAAAAGAAGAAAGAAATGAAATGAAATGTGCAACAACCTGAAAATGAGAGCTGAGGATTGAAGAAGGAAGATAGTGATGACAGCATCAATTTAAATGAAAAATTGACAGTACAGGAGGAAATTATAGCATGTAATTCACACAGTGATGCAGATGTGAGTCAGAAGATGTTGAGGGGGTTACAAAATAGTTACATAGAAGGAAAAAAAAATTGTTTTATTTTTTTTAAAAGCTTCTTGTAAGTTTGTATGATAAATATTTTACCAGCAACACTGCAGCTGTCAAAGAATTTCCTCCTGGAATCATTTTATACAGCAGAATGAAGAATTTCCTGAACTGAAGACCGTCTCACTGAGATTTGCAAGGAGATGAGCTGTATGATCTAAAACAGCAGGAGAACATCTGAAAAAAAAAATATGTAAGTGAGCAGCAGGAAACCAGGTTCATGCGGATATTAAAACCTTACGGTACAGGTTAAAAAGTAGTATCTTGTTGTTTGTTTATCATAATTAACCTCCTAAGACCTGAACTCTTTCATGGCATGCATTTTTAATTTCTCTTTGCTATTTGGGCTGAATGGGACCCGATGGATGTAAAAACAAAGAATTATCTTTTTACCTGGTTTTGCCCTACAAGGGCCTCATATGCACATATGAGGACATTCGTTTTTAATTTTAAAAACGAATGTCAGTGGATATCAGTGGATATCGGGCCCTTGTAGAGCAACATTTAGTATTGTGGTCTAGACAACCCAAAATGTGATGTCCACATATGTGGATGCCAGGTCCTAGGAGGTTAAAGATTTTTTTTTTTAAAGGAACAACATATTGGGGTGAGTGAGCATTAAGTAAAGTTGTAGCATAAAGAACAAGAGGACATAAAATAAAATAGTTGTTTCTGGTTCCCTGGTCCGTATTACAGGAAGCGGGTTTACGGCAGGAACCTACCTGCAGATGTTCTTTGACAAAGTCTTCACTTCCTGTTGCACCTGCAGCTTGTTTAAGGTGTACAGCCTGTAAGAACACAGACAGTGACGACCGTATATTGTGGATTCACTACATAATCTATAGGATACATCTTTCCAACACTGATAGGCAGCTGTCAGGTTGTCAGCAAGTTCCTCTGCATGAAAGCATTTTCCATAAGCATTCAACTTTCTTGGTCCATGAGATTAAAGTGAGGGCTCAGCTCTTTATTTGCCTGATGATGGAATGCTTTCCACTCATTACATACAGATGTGCTTGAATCAGCTCACTTAATTGAACTAATTTTAATCAACTCTTAAGGAAGTCAAAACTCAGAGTTAGTCATCTCAG